AACTAAATATTGATGTAATTTTTCTGTTGGGGTGCCCAAATTTATGCACCTGCCTACTTTTGTTTAAGTAATTATTGCACACTTTCTGTAAATCCTATAAACTTCATTTCAGTTCTTAAATATCACTGTGTTTGTTTACTCTATGATATATTTAATTGAAATTGCTGTTCCAAACAACCAATGATCCATAAAGGAAAATCTTGAAAATGATCAGGGGTGCCCAAACTTTTTCATACCACTGTAAGTGTCGAGAATGGCATTCCATTATTCGGACACTAGTTTGTCCGGTTTGAGAAGGTTTTCAATATTACTCCATTTGCGATTCTGAGCAAGAATGAACCAGTCTCTTCAGCAGTGAAAGCAAATGAATCTGCCCAGGTAGCATTAAACGTTCTGTTTTCTTCAGAAACTTTTCTTTTCTTGGATTTACCCATCATTTACCTACCAGGGGTCGATAAGCTCAATAAATCATGCTGGTGGTGTAGGTGCCAGATAAATCCGCGCTGCCAGATATGTGCCGGGTATCGCACATCGGCAGATGTAACAAATGTAAAATGTAAAATGTTACAGGATTACCAAAATCTTCAAATTTAGAATTATATTTAAAAAAGAACAAACTAAAACAAAAAAGAAATTTTAATTAAATACTCATTATTTATTTTCCAAAGTCACAGGGAGCCACAACAGAAGGATGAAAGAGCCACATGCGGCTCTGGAGCCGCGGGTTGCCGACCACTGATCTAAGTGATGATAAAAATGATCAGCTGATGACTTGTGAGCAACTCTACCATACCATAACAGCACCACAGCAAAAACTGCCTGATGTGATGCCTCTCAGATGAAGTAGATGAACATGGCAATACATGGTAAGGGGCGCTTTACCTTGACCTGGCCTGCAGAGATAACGCGTCTAAATTTACAACTTAGTTTGTGGAAATTATTTTTGACACAGTTACAGTTTATAGTAGCACACTCATTTTATAAACCATAGCATTTGCAACTTTGTTTATAGTTCCACCTGTATATGAATCATTGTTTATTACTAACCTAACATGCAGGCATACTCTACCTTTGCTGTTCTGGCAGACTGCAAAGTCATCCTCAATAGAATGAAAGATGCAGTAGACACACAGCTACGAGAATAACCGTTGTGATGCTAGATAATATAAGCTTCCTCAAGCGAACTGTGAACTATGTATTATTCTATTTTGTGGTTCGAATCCACAGGGCCTCAGTCCATTCCTTCCCGCACATCATAGCTAACAACACACTTCTGCGGTTCTGTGAAACTGTAGATCAGAATCCCACCTTGCTGCCGTCCCGACCGAAGATTGCGTAGCTCAGCTCAGCGTCAGCATCCAGCTCGGCGTCCTGCAGAGAACCCTCCATGCACACCTCCTGAACCCCCTTTTCACATGAACCCTTCCCTCTTCGCACAATCTTACGCACAATCTTTCGTATACACACACAACCAAACACAAAAGGGCAGGAGAGAGTGGTGGTTTATAGAGTGGGCAGTGAAAAGACGGAGTTGGTGAAAATCTGCTGAAAGAAACTTTTAAAAAATGACAATTTTGAATTTATTTATTTTCCAGACTCAAAAAATAAATTCACAGTATAAGATTGTATGTGGTGAACACTGACAATAATGATTATTATTTTAATAATCATTACATGAAGCGATGTTATTGTGTCACAAACACCAAAATGGAAAAATATTTACTGCAGGTAGAAAATACAGCATGAAGTCTGTTGAAATTACTCACCTTCTTTGTGATGATGTTTCCATGTTCATCTATGAACTGTTCCTCGCTTACTTGTTCACCTGGAAGATCTTCAGCTTCATCACCCTGTGGAAAATATGTGAAACTTAGATAATCTTTTTTAAAATACCTTTCGGTTCACTTCACAGTACTGGACTTAGGCAAGGGAAAGGAAGTTACAGTTGTTCTTCATATACTCCCAGAGAGACATGAAGAACAGATGGTTGGAGTGTTCACAGCTTTGTTTTCTAAAGTATGTCTGTTCAACTGCTGGAATCTATGGAGCTCACCAAAGCTTGTAGTTGATTGAATTAACAGTTCACGAAGTTCATAATAATGCTGTTATGGAATCAAATACATGGTTGTATTATTTCACTAAATAATATTATCCTCATGCTACCAGTAAGCACTTTCATCATGCTATGTCAACCATATTTCTGTAGATTTCTTTGTACCTTGAGGATAACTCTGCGGCGAACCACTTTAGTGGTGACGTTTTCCTCCTCATCAGCCACTCTCTCCACCTCACCAAGTTCCCGGTCCAGCTGCTTGTGAATATAAGTGAGCACAGACTGCACTGAGCCACTGGCTATATGAAGGACATTCTGGCAGCTGATCACCAGAAAGGCCAGCAGCACAAAGCTAAAGAGGAGCTCAGTTACAAGGGCCCACATTGCCCCAGTTGGATTCCAAGCAAATCAATACAGCCTGAAGAAAACAGTGCAAGACTCCGGGTACACGTCTTTCGACCCTTCAAAGAACCTGCTCCTCTCTTAGCTTAAGAACAGACCAACAGCTGCAGTCCCAGGCTCTTTTTACTTCAGTCAGTCAAAAACTTCAAATGTTTTAGTTTATATTCATACTCTGTTTGCTGGGGCCATGGGCCCTTTCCCCAGAGCTGTTTCCTCTCCTTACCGCTAGTTAGTCAGGAGTATCCAGTCAATGACAAATCCAGGCAAAAGCAACCTTGAGTGGCTTCTATTCCCCCCTCTCTCTCTCTCTCTCTCCCTCTCTCTCTCTGCCCATGTGACACAGAGGCTTTAAATACCCCTGGCTTACTACTATACTTCTGCTTGAATCTCCTAACTTCCTAATCTGCTGCCTGTAAATAATTTACATTACCCATAGTCAGCCAAACTTAGGAGGCACTGTATATTTTTTAAAACCTGTTTAATACGCATGTTTTTTATTTCAACTCTGCAGCCTGCACTGCATCAAAAGTAAAGACAAAGTTAGCCCTTTAATTGATCCTATGGGACAGTAGAAAGTTGGTAACAACGGCCCAAAACAAAGCTTCTAATTTTAACCTAACATAGTTCTACAGTATACAGTATCTGTGTTGTCCCAGAACGATAACATGTATTAGAGACTAGGGTGGACTCATGTAACACGAGAAGGTGAGCTATATTTGGCTGGACATGTTGTTGTGCCCATCTTGGGCCTGAGTCTGTGCATGCATGTGTCACATTCTGAGTAATAATGTTGAGTCGGCTTGACTCAAGTGCAAGTTCTTTAGATGAGTTTTTGTAAAACACTGTATGCTATGCTCCAATGTAAGTCTTTGAGCTCTATATAAAAAGGAACATATAAGCATAGGTATATTGATGTAAACAGGAAGCTGACTTTCTTGACTGCAGTCTGTTGCTAAAGGAGCTGAGTTTGTATATGTTGTGCAACATGGGACATTTTTTGTTATAAAAACAGTACAAATATTTTTTTTACTCTGCATGACATTGCATTTACCTGGTCCTTGAGACGCATGGCGTCCCAGGGCCGCAGCTCTGGTACTCTGTATGGAAATCCCAAACCCTTCTCAAACGGCTGGGTACCTCTGAAGTGCCCTTGTAAAATCTCAGAGTGCCCCATGTCTCTCACAGGCTGAAGCAAGGCCTCAGGTGTCATACAAGTTTGGTCCACATCTACAGCGTTGCACATTGATGACATCATGGAGTCCATGACCTGCTTGGGTTTAGGCTGGCTGCTTACCCAGGCTTGAGTAGGGTCACTAACAGGGACCCATTGTGGACCTGTTTGTTCCTGAAGGTAGGAAAGGAAAGAGCCTCCACCACTGCCATTTCCACCATTACTTGTCCTGAAATTAAAGAATGACCAGTAAGGAGTTGACAGTTTTGCAAGAACTGAAAGACCACTGTGGACACAGTGGTGAACAATCTTCACAGAATTGTCCTGACAGCTTTAGTTTATCTGTTAGATTTGATAGCATAAGATAAAGCTTTGTAGTAGAATATAAGTACAGATTTATTGTTTTACTTTTTGAGTTGTGACTGTTTTAAGTCACCTGTGGTGTAGCTCACCTGTCTCCATTTTGATCTGGAACACAACTCAGACCAGGCGACTCACTCAGCCGAGCATAAACCCTTTGCTCTCCTGTAACAAGAGAATGCCCTTTGTCTGAGCCTTTGCCTCCTTCTCTTCTTCCTCCACCTCCGGTTCCTTCACCACCAGTCGTGCTGGTGACTGCCGATACCTCTGAGCTTGCCTCTGGCCCCTGACAATTGTTCAGCCCATTGAGATTCATCCCAGCGATGGTGCCCCCATGCGAGGCTGGTGTAGCAGTACTGAGTGAGTCAACCCCCATCTCTGAAGCTCTATGAAACCACCCAGCACCCTACCCCCTCCACTGGCTGCACTGGTCTGACTGGCCGGCACACCCAGACTTCCATACGGCAGCCCAGGCAGACATTCAGAATCATCCACATTGCTGCACTCCAGAGAGGAATCCTCCACAGGCACCAGGGAGGGACTATTGCCAGAGGGCCACACCTGAACGTCAGACATCTCCATGAGGGTGTCTTCCTCTGTGGTGGCAATAGGGGCACAGTCCAAACTGGAGACTTCCTGCCAGTATGGCTCAGTGCCCAGTGGAGAGGGCAGGCTGTACTGCATGGAGGCCGGTGACAGAAGCTCTTCCTGCGCAAGCCCATAACCTGGAGCGAGACAGAGAGAGGCACACTGACACCTGCCCCCCACCTCGCTCCCCACCTCACCCCCACAGCACCTGGACCCTGGGAGGGGGAGGTACCCCTGCCCAAAGCTGGGCATCTTAGGGGGTGAGAAGAAGAGGCTAAAGGGACAAATGGGAGAAGAATGGGAAGGGAGAGAGGTGAGGGCCAAGACAATATGAGCTGGAATAAAGGTGCAAGGAGCTTAAGACAAAAGAGCAAGGGCAGCTTTTAGAAGAGGGAGTATCAAGCTTGTTCAGTCAGGGCTGACAGTAAGCGCAGCAGCGGCAGCAGCAGCCCCAGACATAGTCAGATGTACTGAGAGACTGAGACCGAGGATCGAACCTAGCAATGACTGATGCTGCTCTGCTGGCTGCTACCTGCAGGGAGATGGACAGGAATTACTGCCTCTGCCCCCAACCTGGAGCTGGGACAAACATCTGTCCACAAACACATGCCTTTCAACACTCACATCTTCTCACGCCCTCATACATCCACTCACAGTCACACACATACTAAATATGCATGTATTCAAACCCTCTCAAAATCAGACAGGTTAATGTTGTTGTCAGGCTGGGTAGCATGCATGCAGGCAATATCATCCTTCCTTCACGTTGTTCTCACACACATCCATGCATCACAACTGCTTAATCTGCCTTTTGACACAATATAGACATTTAATTAATTAATTAGGGATAAACAGCTACACTTACATGGTAGTTATTTAGGTGTACATAACCCAGTTCTCATGAATGCCAAACACATAGGCAGCAACCATAAAAGATTACCATTGAATGTCAACTTTAGTTTACTTTAGCCTGACAAAAATATACTGTTTAGTGTTTGTTTGCTTGTACATTTTTGCAATTTCATTTTATAGAAATTCCATAGCCAAAGTCGCTACTGTTAAATATGTGTACACATTCAACTGCCAACTGAGTGTCATAACATAGATTTTCATTATGTTTTTCTTGTTTTCAAAGCCACATTTTTGCTGCCTTAATATGCTGTGGACTCAGGTCACGGCTACATCACTTTCAAAAGCATCCTCCCATAACAGTATGTTGTTTTAGCAATGGCTGAACTTGCATAATTAATATAATGGTAAAAAGAAAGGAGTTGTGTTTCAGAAATAAATTCTGTCCTGCTTAAATACATATATAGTGGAGAAGAATTTTGTGAAGCTACTGTACATGTACACTTTTTGTGTTATGGATGTGCAAAGCTGTGCAGTGTGCAACTTGATTCTTGTTTGGCATCACTGCTGTACTGCTGAGAGTGCAGGAGAAACCGTATTTGTCGGGAACATAAAGCGCACCGAATTATAAATCGCGATATCAATGAACGGATCTATTTTCATACATAAGGCGCACCAGATTATGAGGCGCATTAAGCAAAACAAAACAGTCAGATAAGTCAAACTTTATTCGACTCAATCACAATAACTCTCAACATTGTTCAGTTGTAACAATAATACACTCACTTTTCACTACATTCCTCTTCCACAAATCCATCAAATTCTTCATCTTCAGTGTCTGAGTTTAACAGTTGGACGATTTCGGCATCCAGCATTCCCGGATCCCTCTCGTCATTATCCAAGTCAGTCTCGTTGCTCGGACGATATTTAAGACTGATACCTTAGCCCAGGTATCAACGATCCATTAGCAGATAGTGGCGTAACTCGCCCGGTGTTGCCTCCCTGTCTTAGTGAATGTGTGTTCGCCTTCTGTCATCCGATGCTTCCAAGCAGCTTGCAATTTTACTTTGAACGCCCTGTTAACATCAATATTTAGCGGTTGGAATTCTTTGGTTAATCCGCCCGGAATGATGGCAAGCCCCGAATTAGTTTACTTCACTTGGGTTTGGACAATATCGGTGAGATGGGCGCGCATGGAGTTGCAGATCAATAGGGACGAAGATTTGTGGAAAAGGGTATTGACCTAAGTTGGACACAGGAGGGCACTGTTGTTGTTGTTTGCCCCTCCAGAGTCAGGCGGTTGTCACTATTTTAGTTCTGGATGGTCACCGTATTGTTGTTTTGATGCTGTTCCGCGTGGAAGTGCAGATGTTGTTTTGCTGACAGAGTGTGTGTTTTTCCTGCATCGATGAACAAGCAACATGAGCCCGCCTTCCAGCAGGCCCACCACCCGCAGGAAGGCCCACGAGGGGTCGGTGCATTGCAAATTTGGTGGTGGTCGTGGGCGGGGACATCTAGTCTGGCTATGGAACTTACTGGGGGGGGCTGAACTTGTGAGGTTGAGCGATACCGCCTAGATATAGTTGGGCTTGCCTGAGAAAGGCTGTACTCTTTTTTACTCTGGAGTTGCTTGTGGTGAGAGGTGGCGTGCTAATGTAGGCTTGCGTATAGCCCCCCAGCAAGCCAGCTGTGTGTTGGATTTCTCCCCACTGAGCGAGAGGGTCGCTTTCCTGCGCCTTCGGGTCGGGGATAGGTCTCTCACTGTTGTTTCAGCCTATGGGCCGAATGGTAGTGCAGAGTACCCGGCCTTCTTGCAGGCACTGGAAGGGGTATTGGAAACTGCTCCTCCCGAGAATTCCATCTTCCTGTTGGGGGACTTCAACGCTCATGTGGGCAACGACAGTGTCACCTGGAGGGGCGTGATCGGGAGGAACGGCCTCTCAGATCTGAACCCGAGTGGTGTTTTGTTACTGGACTTCTGTGCTAGCTACAGTCTCTTCATTATGAACACCATGTTCCAACACAAGGGTGTCCATCAGTGCACGTGGCACAAGGACACCCAAGGCCGGAGGTCAGTGATCGACTTTGTCATCTGACCTCCGGCCATACATCTTGGGCACTCGGGTAAAGAGAGGGGCTGAGCTGTCAACTGATTACCACCTGGTGGTGAGTTGGGTCTGCTTACAGGGGGTGAAGCTGGACAGACCTGGCAGACCCAGATGTATCTTGAGAGTCTGTTGGGAGCGTCTTGCGGAATCCCCTGTAAGAGAGGCCTTCAACTCCCACCTTTGGAAGAGCTTCAACCAGGTCCCGAGGGAGATTGGAGACATCGAGTCCGAATGGACCATGTTCTCCTCTTCTATCGTTGCCGTGGCCGTACGAAGCTGTAGCTGTAAGGTCTCCGGTGCCTGTGGTGGCGGCAATCCCAGAACCCAGTGGTGGACACCGGAGGTAAGAGAGGCCATCAAGCAAAAGAAGGAGTCCTACCAAGCGTGGTTGGTTCGGGGGACTCCTGAGACAGCTGACAGGTACAGCCAGGCCAAGCTGACTGCAGCTCGGGTGGTCGCAGAAGCAAAAATCCGGGTCTGGGAAAAGTTCGGGGAGGCCATGGAGGAAGACTGTCGGTCGGCCTCGAAGAAATTCTGGCAAACTGTCCAGCACCTTAGGAAGGGAAAGCAGTTTCCCCTCAACACTGTTTACCAGGGCAGTGGGGCGCTGATGTCCTCGACTGGGGATGTTGTCAGGTGGTGGAAGGAATACTTCGAGGAGCTCCTAAATCCTACTGACACGCCTTCCACAGAGGAAGCAGAGGCTGAGGACCTGGTGGCTGACCCACCCATCTCCTGCTCTGAAGTCACCGAGGTGGTCAAGAAGCTAGTCGGTGGCAGAGCGCCGGGGGTGGATGAGATCCGCCCTGAGTACCTCAAGTCTCTGGATGTCAAAGGGCTGTCTTGGCTGACACTTCTCTGCAACATTGCGTGGCAGTCGGGGACAGTGCCTCTGGACTGGCAGACTGGGGTAGTGGTCCCTCTTTTTAAAAAGGGGTACCGGAGGTTGTGTAACAACTACAGAGGAATAACACTACTCAGTCTGCCGGGGAAAGTCTATTCCAGGGTACTAGAGAGGAGAATTCAACCAATAGTTAAACCTCAGATCCTAGAGGAACAATGTGGTTTTTGTCCTGGCCGTGGAACACTGGACCAGCTCTATATCCTCCACAGAGTGCTCAAAGGTTCATGGGAGTTTGCCCAACCAGTCCACATGTGCTTTGTGGACTTGGAGAAGGTTTTCGAGTGTGTCCCCCGTGGTATCCTGTGGGGGGTGCTTCGGGGGGGACCGGTTCTGTTCATGATCTTTATGGACAGAACTTCTAGGCGCAGTCAAGGACCGGGTGGGGTCCAGTTCAGGAGCCATCGGATTTTATCTCTGCTTTTTGCAGATGATGTGGTCTTACTGGTGGAGTGTGAAGCCGCCGGGATGAGAATCAGCACCTCTAAGTCCGAGGCCATGGTCTTCGACCGGAAAATGGTGTCTTGCACCCTCCAAGTTGGGGGAGAGATCCTGCCGCAGGTGGAGGAGTTTAAGTATCTTGGGGTCGTGTTTACGAGCAAGGGGAGGATGAAACGTGAGATTGACGGACTGTATCGGTCCGTTGTGGTGAAGAAGGAGCTGAGCCCAAAGGCAAAGCTCTCGATTTACCGAGCAATCTACATTCCTACTCTCACTTACAGTCCTGAACTCTGGATCATGACCGAAACAATTAGATCCCGGATACAAGTGACTTAAATGAGCTTCCTTCGCAGGGTGGCGGGGCGCTCCCTTAGAGATAGGGTGAGGAGCTCTGACACCCGAGACGAGCCCAGAGTAGAGTCACTGCTCCTCCCTCGGGAGGTGCTTGGATCGTGCCCCGTGTGGTTTGGCTTTGTAAAATTGGTTCGAGGTCAGTAAGCACAACCAGAATTAATACATAAGGCGCACTGGGTTATAAGGCGCACTGTTGATTTTTGAGGAAATAACAGGGTTTTAAGTGCGCTTTATAGTCAGAAAAATATGGTATTTGTGACACTAAGTCCCATCAACCTCCTGTCCTACTTACTCACCCTGGGGCATAGTTCATAGGTTTGTAGAAGCTGGTGGAAATATTATTATTGTTTGTAAGGTCCATGTTTAAAGGTCAACAAAGCGAAATTTGCTTTGAAAATACTGTAAAATTACATGACTAATTTAAGTCATATACACAAGACATTAAGTATATCCCTATTTTGGTTAAGAAATATTTTTTGTCAGATTGCATTTCCGCTTATTTTAGGGCCACAATTGAGAAAGCCATTGACCTCACCCTAAATAATGCATTGAAAATGTCTTACTGAAATCTATCTTAGTGAATTTGTATCCTTCATTTCATTGTCCCTACCTGGAACAATAGAGTGGTGTAATGGTAGAAACAGTGGGAGAAGAAATCAGAGGGAACTGAGAATTAAAGAGGAAAGAAATCCACAGAAGACCAAGTAAAAGGGATAAAAAAGAGACTGTGAGTGACCGACTCCTCCACTGAAAGAAAGAAATTAAGTTGTGTTTTTGGAGTAAAATACTGTCCATTTGAGGATGTTTTATCCACCAAATGCTGATACACTGGTCACACATGTATATGGATAACATGAGCACAACCAAAATTAAAAATGCACACACAGACAAAATCCACAAGTACTAAATAAAAATGTTCACATTTAACAATAAGCACATGTATATCAACAGTACGAAACGGATCACTTTTAACACTCACATGTTGAGTGTTGATACAAAATAACTGCAACACATTCATGAACGGAACAATGTAGGTTCACAAAAAAGGTCTGTGGCCTCTTTCAAACCTGTCATTAAAACAGCTTAGAGGAATAGCAGAGACAGTAGGTTATAATCAGAATGCATGCCATGTGAAATTCGACTGTTGATCAGGTTGATTTGGTGTGTGTTCTTTTAGGTGTCATTTTTAACAAGCTAGTGTTACTCATCAACCAAGTGTCTCTGTGCAAACAGGAGATTAATGGGTAATAAAAACAGCCTACATGCATGCTCATACAGTCAGGCAGAGGGCATGAAAGAATGGGGGAAAAAAAGAGGCAGCACAGAATTAGAAAAGAGGAATAGACAGAGAGAAGAGGAATATAAAATAGTGATGAACGTAGAAACAGTGAGAGGTAGTGAGGGCCACCTGCCCCCTCCCAGTGGGTGCTGAGTAAACAGTCTGTGTGAGCTGTGTCGTTCACAGAGTGGACACTTAAAAAGGTGGGGGTTTCAAAAATTCACAAATAAAGATGATGCGTGACTAGTTGATTAAAAAAACAGATAAAGATGTGGGTCAGAGGTCAACATGAGGTTGGCATGAGATCAAAGGTTGGAGAGGAGTGAGAAGGAGGAAGAGTAGGAAGAGGCTGCAGATAACATATCCAGAGAAACACAGAGAGGACATTCAATGCACAAACGTTAGCGCTACAGAGACTCAAACTACTCCACATGCAGTCACAGGCAAAAAGCATGTTATATTCATTTTCCATAGTTCATGTTTTAGTTTATAACCTATGACTTACTGTGACCTTACTTTTGAATAACTAAATTAACTATTTAAAAGATAATTGAGGCAATAGGTAAATTTTTAAAGACACTACTTTGACAAATAGAAGGCACAACAATATAGGAAAAATGGTCAGGTGGAAATATTGTTGTTTCTGACCAGCGCTGTAAAATAATTGCACTAATGAACAGATTTAACCTGAAATATAACTCAAACATCAATGATTAGCTCAGCTTAGCATACTAGAGAAAGCCATTAGCCATTGTCACTGTAGCTTGTCAATTCCAGTATTATGTGCTGGACTATCTACGATATATTGGCAGGTAAAAATACATTTCTGACAAAAACTTGATGTAGAGCTAGCTAGCAGGACTTTTGTAAACAAGGGCAAGCTAACCAGCTATTAACCAGGTAGTAGCCTCATATATAAATGCAAAGGATTGTGTGTTTTTGTAGCTCATAGAACTATTGATAATGGTCAACATGTAACAGGCCTGCAAATGGGAATAAAATTTGGGTCTGTGTTCACTGAATGCACTGTGCCATGTGTCAATGACGTCCCAATCTTATTAGATCAAGTATCTTAACTACAACTATTATTTTAATATGAGTGAGCAATGGATAAATAGTTAACAGTATTTAAACAAAACAGACCCATTTATCAGATCAGTTTTAAGTCCTTTGTACATAAAATGTTTTTTTATCTGACTTTGTTTTTATTTCTGCCTTTTATTTCCACCTTCTTTAGATATTGGTTACAGTACAATTGTTTGGCACTAGCCATCTATTGTATAGAGCTACATTTAAGGAGTCTGTCAATGTTAAAGTAGGCTGTTTTTGCACCACTTGGTAAATGCATCATTGACTTTTCGTGCAGCACTGTGTTTTACTGTAAAAGCCAAAGCACAAAAAGCCTTTGGGAGGCAGGTTGAAAAATAGACAAACAGCACAGATATATGGGTATCAGATTCAGTGTGGCTGTGATCTGAATGTTTCCCTTTCATCCTTTGACCGTAGTCCTACCTTTATGCATTACATATCTTACAATTGCTTCAATTGTCACAGACTCTACCTGCTCCATGACTCACTGACGTGGGACTCAGAGCTGTCCGGAGGTGAAAATGAAGTCAATAAGATGTAGATTATGCATGTGAAAAAGACACCATGGGGAAAGGATTAAAAGACTGAAGACTGACAACTGGTAAGACATCTCATTTTCTTAGTTTCATATTATGTTTCATTTCGTATGATGTTTTTTTGTTTTTTATTAGTCAATGGAAATGTTGCTAAGAGAGTAATGCTTTATTTGTCATTACATGCCTGTCTTTGACCTACCATATCAGTGTTATGAAATGTGAAATGTATTTGCAAGAGCTAGTCAGAGGATACTGTACAATAGGAGTGTCCTGAGTCCTTTTGCATTTTTCTTGTGGTAAACTCCTGCTAAAATTCAAAGTTGTGGCATCTTTCCAACACAACAGACTCACAGAGAAGAAATTAAAAAAATAAAAAAGATTGGGGAATGAGAGAAAATTAGAAACAAACTTTACCTTTTGGAGATTTGAAGGAAATATGATGTAGATATACTGGGAATGTGGCTTTGGTAAATAGGAAAAGGGGACATAGGGAAAAGGCTGCATTGTGGGACTTAAGGTTGGTAATCTTACCATTGGTCAATCTTACCATTGGTCATACCAGGGGAAAGATGCTTTCTGTCGTTGTGCCGGCGCCTGCTGAAATCACGGGAGCCTTGTCTCGTAGGCTGCGGTGGCTGTCCCTCCAACATACTGACAATGTCCATACGGTCAATGCTCTTCAGAGCCGTGTACAAGCTCTCCACTGCAGCAGGCAACGTATGATTGGGATAAGGAAACCAAAGGTGAAGATGGGTGGGGAAGGAAACAGGAAGTGGTAGTTTTACCTTTGACTGCATAACAGGAAAGGAAACATTTAAAAATAGGGAATGAGAAAAAAAAGAATAGTCTTGCTACTTAAGCTATGTACTACTTACTCTTTGCTCTTTTGCCCTCTCGGGTCACCCACAAATTAAGAAGCACTGAACTCTGCTCCAGCAGGGAGTTTGGATTCTCCACACGGATTTTATTGATGTCATCCACACTGAGCTGCAACTCTCGTGCCAACTCTAGAAATGTGAGCAAGCTGGTTTTACTGAAAGCTCAACTCATTTACACTATATGTCATGCTACAAAACAGTCACTGTCATCAATGACTTTTCTGACTGGAAAAGAAAACTACCATATTTTAAGGATTTTCATACATAAGGCGCACCGGATTATAAGGCTCATTAAGAGAAACAATTAAGCGGAACAAGTAAGCATTCCCGTATCCCTCTCGTCATTATCCGAGTCAGTCTTGTTGCTGTTAAGATAAGATAAGTTTAATTAAGCTGTTCAGTGATGATTCCGGCCTTCGTGAAAGCTCGAACGACATTTGAGACTGATACCTTAGCCCAGGCATCCACGATCCATTAGCAGATAGTGGTGTAACTCGCCCAGCATTGCCTCCCTGTCTTGGTGAATGTGTATTCGCCTTCTGTCATCCAATGCTGCCCACGCAGCTCGCAATTTAACTTTGAATGCCCTGTTAACACCAATATTTAGCAGTTGAAATTATTTGGTTAATCCACCCGGAGTCGCAGATCAATAGGGACGGAGATTTGTGGAAAAGGGTAGTGACCTAAGTTGGACACAGGAGGGCACTATTGTTGTTGTTCACCCCTCCAGAGTCAGGCGGTGACAACCGCTCCAGAGGGGTATTTGTTCTGGATGGTCACCGTATGTTGTTTTGACGCTGTTCCGTGCGGAAGTGCGGATGTTGTTTTGCAGAGAGAGTGTGTTTTTTGCCTTCATCGATAAAAAAGGAGAAATAAAAAGAGTTTTTGACCACGGAAAAATCGACAGCGATGCGTCTGAGTCGTCCTTCTGCATTGCACCATACATTGACAATTTCAAAACACAACACAGTCTCCGGGTGTTGAGAGGCACGACACGATGTTGCACGGATTTGAGTTACACAACCATACTGTAACAATTGTTGTTGAGCATCTTCTAACTGTGATAACAGAGTTAAATGTCATTGTTGGCTCCCAGTGTGCTTCAGTTGTGTGCCATCATGTGTGATGCGCTGTGTGGTTTGGCTTTATATCGCTTATATAAATCGCTTCGTGGTCAGTAAGCAAAACCAGAATTAATACATAAGGCACACACTGTCAATTTTTGAGGAAATTAAAGGATTTAAATTAAAAATATGGTAATTGGTTTGAATGCCTGGGCGCCATGTTGTTTGGCCAACAATGAAGTAGACAAGCTTGTTAGACACAAGGTAAACATGAAAGACAGAACCATTGACACACACACATGCACACACAAACCCTAACTGGCTTTTGTTTTTTAGCACTTCACATAGACATGAATCTCTCCTGAACCATAGCATTTTTACAAAACTTGCCTGTGCCAATACACCTATACCAGGCACATAAGCACACAGAAAGTGTACTTAAGAGTGTTGTAAATTACCAGCCCAGCTCAGCCCCAACTGTTCTGCAATCACAGCCATTTTTAGCTCAGTCCTCTCCATCGTGCTCATTGATGCTGTAAAAACCACAATGACAGCAAAACTTCAACATCTGTGTTTTAAAAAATTGAGATCACTGCTGCAATAAAAATAACATTGTGCGCAAGTTATAGACTTGTACCCATTGCAGGCCCATTTAGAGCACTGTATCTTTCTCTCAAAGCCAGCGGAGTGAGAGTCCTCCTGCGATCTTCGCTGCCCATTATCTGCCAGTGACAAACAAACACCACTGATGTCTTACACCCCTCAGGAGATAAAACTGAATACTGTAAATGTGGTTATTTTCTTGTTTAAAGGTGAGTTTTTTTCCAGAGCCTTACCCTTATACATGGTGGCATAGTAATGTTGAGGTTGCACAGCACATGTTGACTGTCCTCATATTTGGTGGTCTTACGTAGGAAAGACAAAAAGCCAGTGGGCGCTTTACTGCTGTCTCTGACCTTCATTTTGGAGACAGAAGAAGAGCAGTGGTGTTGCCCATCAGTTGGATATTAGAAGTATGTAGTTAATAGTGAATATTAAAGTTAAATTTAAGACTGGCCAAATGTAAACACCTTAACAGAGACGGGAAGACGGTTGTCTCTAAAAGCCTGGACGCTGAAGCAGTGAGGCTGCTGCGTGGCTTTCCTCATTGGAACAAGGTTTCCAGAACATTCCAGGTGAAGTGACATTCCCTCCATGACCTATGGTATTGGACAAAATATGATAATGGTTGCACCAGTGACCAGTATGTGTGGTCCATTTGTATATTTGTTGACGCAGACAGAAAATTATTATGTCTTATACTACCTTTTTGTGTTTGCTTTTTCTCCAAACCTTCCTGTCTGTGTTGTCCCTCTAATGACCTCATTCCTGACCCTGTCCATTCTTGTCACTCCTAAAGAGAATCTTAGCATCTTTAACTCTGCCACCTCCAGCTCCTCCTCCTGTCTTCTGCCTATTGCTACTGTCTCTAAACCATACATCATGGCTGGTCTCACCACTGTCCTGTAAACCTTTCCCTTCACCTTAGCTGACACTCTTCTGCCACCGATCACTCCTGACACTTTTCTCCAGCTGTTCCATCCTGCCTGTACTCTATTCTTCACCTCTCTTCCACAGTCTCCGCTGCTCTGAACAGTTGATCCTAAGTACCTAAACTCCTGCACCTTCACCACCTCTGCTCCTTGTAGCCTCACTATTTCACTGTTCTGCCTTTCGTTTACACACATGTACTCTGTCTTGCTGCGACTGACCTTCATTCCTCTTCTTTCTAGTGCAAACCTCCACCTCTCTAGGTTCTCTTCTAGCTGCTGCCTACTCTCACTACAGATCACAATGTCATCTGCAAACATCATAGTCCATGGGGACTCCTGTCTGACCTCATCTGTCAATCTGTCCATCACCACAGCAAACAAGAAGGGGCTCAGGGCCGATCCTTGATGTAGTCCCACCTCCACTTTGAAGTCTTCTGTCCTCCCAACAGCGCACCTCACTACTGTTGTACTATTCTCATACATGTCCTGCACCAAACTAACATACTTCTCTGCCACTCCTGACTTCCTCATACAAAACCACAATTCCTCCCTTGGCACTTTGTCATATGCCTTTTCTAGATCTACAAATACACAATGCAGCTCCTTCTGACCTTCCCTGTACTTCTCCATCAACATCCTCAAGGCAAATATTGCATCTGTGGTACTCTTCCTAGGCATGAAACCATACTGTTGTTCACAAATCTCCACTTCCTGCCTCAACCTAGCTTCAACTACTCGTTCCCAAATCTTCATTGTATGGCTCATCAACTTTATCCCTCTGTAGTTGTTACAACTCTGTGCATCACCCTTCTTATGAATTGGCACCAGAACACTTTTTCTCCACTCATCAGGCATCTTGCCAGTCTCTAAAATTCTGTTAAACAAACCAGTCAGGAAATTTACTGCCACTTCTCCTAAACACTTCCATACTTCCACTGGTATGTCATCAGGACCAACTGACTTTCCACTCTTCATCCTCTTCAGGGCTTTTCTAACTTCATCCTTTCTAACCTGATCTACCTTCTTCCTACTAGTCTCTGGCTCCTCGTTTCTACTTTCCCTTTCATTTTCCTCATTTAACAACTCCTCAAAGTATTCCTTCCATCTTCTCAGCACACTTTCCTCACTTGTGATCACATTCCCCTCTCTGTCCTTAATCAACCTCACCTGCTGCACATCCTTCCCAGCTTGATTTCTCTGTCTCGCCAATCTATACAACTCCTTTTCTCCTTCCTTTGTTTCCAAACTCTCATACAACTCCTCATATGCCTTTTGTTTGGCCTTGGCCACTTCCCTCTTCACCTCCCTTGTCCTCTCTTTGTACTCCAGTCTGTTCTCTTCTGTTCTGTCACTGTCCCATCTCTTCTTCGCTAATCTCTTTCTCTGCACACTCTCCTGGATCTCCTCATTCCACCACCAGGTCTCTTTGTCCTCCTTTCTCTGCCCAGAGGACATACCTAGCACCTTCCTACCTGTCTCCCTCATCACTGCAGCTGTAGTCTCCCAATCATCTGGGAATATCTCAACACTACCCAGAACTGCCCTTACTTCCTTCCTGAAGTCTTCACAACATGTCTCTTTCCTTAGTTTCCACCACTTGATCTTCTGCTCTGTCTTCACTCTCTTCCTTTTTGTCACCTCCATCGTCATTTTACACACTACCATCCGATGTTGTTTGGCTACACTCTCACCTGCCACCACCTTACAGTCTCTAATCTCCCTCAGATTACATCTTCTACATAGAATATAATCTATCTGTGTGGACCTGCCTCCACTCTTGTAAGTCACCCTATGTTCCTCTTTCTTTTGGAAATATGTGTTTACCACAGCCATTTCCATTCTCTTTGCAAAATCTACCACTGCCTGTCCTTCTACGTTTCTCTCCCTAACACCAAACCTGCCTATCACTTCCTCATCTCCTCTGTTCCCTTCCCCTACATGACCATTTAGGTCTGCTCCAATCACCACTCTCTCTCTCCTGGGGATACTCTCTACCATCCAATCTAGCTCCTTCCAGAACTTCTCCTTTTCTTCCAACTCACAGCCCACCTGTGGGGCATAACCACTAACAACATTAATCATCTCTCCTTCTACTTCTACCTTCACACACATCAACCTGTCTGACTCTCTTTTCACCTCTACCACATTTCTTACATATTCTTCCTTTAGGATCACCCCTACTCCATTTCTCTTCCCATCTGAACCATGATAAAACAGTTTGTAGCCTCCTCCAATGTTTCTAGCCTTACTGCCCTTCCACCTGGTCTCCTGCACACACAAAATATCTACTCTTCTTCTCTCCATCACATCAGCTATTTCTCTACTTTTCCCTGTCATTGTACCTACATTCAAAGTTCCAAACTTCAGACTAACACTTCTATTCTTCATCTTTTCTCTTTTTCTCCTAACCAAACGCCCTCCTCTTCTTCTCTGTCTCTGACTCTGTCTCTGACCAACAGTAGTCCAATTTCCATCAGTGCCCTGTTGGTCAACGGCACTGTTGGCGGTCGTTGTTAACCCGGGCCTCGACCGATCCGGTATGGAAATCGTTTTATTGATCTGCATATTTGATTTAGCTAAACGTTTTACGCCGGATGCCCTTCCTGACGCAACCCTCACCATTTATCCGGGCTTGGGACCGGCACTATAAACATGGCTTCGTGTATCCTAGTGGCTGGCGGGTATATACAGTAAATAAGATTGGTGTATCAAAATATGGCATGACAAAAGCCTGGTCGATTAGAAAGTAGGAAGTTTACAACAGTAAACTCATATTAGGTTCAAAAGGGTTTGAACTCTCGATGTTTACAATCATATAACAAACATAAAGTAGCTTTTCACAAGAACGTGTTGAACTGACCTCTATGTCTCTGCTGCGTGCCACCTCTGTGAAGTTCTCATGTTGCTCCAGGGTTTTGTCCATCTTATCATCGGTCATGCAGTAACATCGCAAGCGTCCTTCATGGATCTCATTCATCTTGGCAAACACCACAAACTTAGCCATGTATGGCACAACTGACAGCTCTCTGTAGAGCAGGTTGGCAAAAGAGACGGCCTCGGCAGTCCGAGGACAGTCTGCAAGCCAGAACCTGAGAGAAAATAATGAAACATAGTCATACTTATGTATATTGCTATTTAGTCACAACAACATTTTGCCATATTTAGCCTAGATCATATGTACAGGCACCTTCCAGTGGACTCACCACCCGCAGGAAGGTTTAGGGGGGTTGGTACGGTGCAATGTGATTTGGGTGGCAACTGCTGCCCCCGCGACCCGGTAACGGATAAGCGGATGAAAATGGATGGATGGATGGATGTACAGGCAATACAGTGTGTTAATACTTGGAATGTTTTTTTATTGGCAGAGATTGTTGGGTTGCAACACACAAAACAGTTTTTTATTTTTTTGCCATATAATGTAGTAAGTAATTAAGTGTTACTGTGACTTATTAGAGGTATACAGCTGCTCCGTGTCCAGCCAGCACAACACTGCCATGGTATGATCTGCTGTGATTACCCAGCATACCCATACCCTTAAGATGTCTCCACCATGAGGTGTTTAGTTTAATAACATTCGACAGTCAGCATTAACAAAAGCCTCCTATGTCATTTTTTCTTTAAGAAACAGTTTCAACTGAGGTGCTGGACTTTGATGATACAGAAACAGATGTTATACCAATCACATGGTCCATCGTAATAAAGCTACATGTACAGCAAACCCTGCAGGGAAGAAAGGGGAACCTCTGTGTTGTGTTTTTACAAACTGTGGCTTCCTATCCAACAGCTATCATGAGCCTATTTTCTTTTAAGTTTTTGTTATACACTGTATGTGCTTTGAACTGGACTTACCGTGCTGATACATTAGTTGTGAAACTTGCACAGTCATTAGCATATATTAGCTTGGTTGTACCAGTGATGTCCTCCCACTGGGCTAGAGCCGTGCCACCTAGGAATAAGACAAGATAACAAAAGTCTAATAGTTCACCTAGCTTCAACAAACGTGAGACATTTTATGTACATACAGTATATCACAGTCTTTACCATTAAAAGAAGCTGGTTTCCATTCAAGATACACAAACACCTACCCACTCACCAACAAAACTTCAGCATGCCGTACCTATGACAGAGCAGAGCAAACGCAGGCTAGTGGTATCACCCTCCCCAGAATCTCGGGGGCTCTCCCTCCATGATGGAGGTAGTGGTATGCGTAGACCAATAGGTCTGTGAAATTTGCGTCGCCGAGGCTCCACTGTGACCACCGGACTGAAGTTGGCCTGGTTACCCAACAGCTTTACAACCAGTTCATCTGGAACTGGTTGAGCCTAAAGTTGAAAGAAAATAATAGGCGAGTGGAATAGGAAATAAAACCAAGGCATTGGAGTTATTTTTTTTCAATTAAAAAAAATAAATCATAAAATCAATGTGAGATAATAGATGGAAAATGGATGAGAAAAGATATTAAAAGAGATACCAAATGAAGTCAAATGTGAAGAGCAAAGCATAGGGTGAATAGTTTTAAACACACATTTAGAAGGACATTGGCAATACAAACCGGTTGTTGAATTTTTTTATTGTAATATATAACAATATTTGTTTTCCTACAGTCATGGATACCACGCTGGATGAATATCAAGCAAGAAGGCACTGTGTTTCTAAGGCAAGTGTTTACATGAGAACTAGAGGCTTTAAAAAATACACAGTTATAGATAAGTGGCATTAGTTCATAACATTTATATTAAATAATCACAACATTTTAAAAATACATTAAAACTACATTTAATATTTTAGTGAAGAGGTAACAGCAGGTGTAGTATCTTGTGGTGTTCTTATTTGCAAGAATTATTCTATTGCCTTAAACCACAGTAGAAGCTAAAATGCCATCATACTGTCATATTGATAATAACACATAAAAATGAATAATTATGGGGATAGACTTGGGTATGGCCACTAACATGTATTTTAATATGATAATTAAAGCTCTGTGAGGATTAGTACATATATACTTGTCAAAATGAGAAAAAAGAACTGAATCCAGTCAAATTAAATGACATTATTGAAATGTGCAAAAATGTTGTCAATAATAGGAAATACTTGACACTTGACGCAAATTAGTATACCAGGTTAATGTTTTTAATGTAAAGAATTAGCTTGTGTTGCTATTTTATTGTTAAAGGGTCAAGAGAGTTACAGGTAAAGGATAAAGTACTGGTGGCTGTTGTGTAAAACAAAAGCTTATCTGAATATATTATTTTGAAAAGCGGCCTTTTCTTGTGTTGGTCTTGTCTTTGGTGTGATTGTTCATGGAAATTCAAACTTGATTTTACGTTCATCTTGAGGAAGGGCAGAGGACCAACAAAAATGCCTAACTGATTCTCTGAATTGTTTAGTAATGGAAACATTGGAAATTGATGACTGAAGTCAATATTTAAGTCTTTCAGCTAATTTTGATAACCAAAATCTGTGACTGGTGAATCTGCTCACTGAGAAATATTTATTTATAAATATAAATTTATAGTATATGCCATTGACTCCCAAACTATAATGCCACGATTTTTGGGATGTTCAAATTTCCCTTCATTGGTCTAAAAAGGATTATTTATTTAATATTTATTTATGTACGTTTGTTAGGTGGCAGAGATTGCTATAAAAACTGAAAAAGAGAATCTGAACTGTTTAAGAAGATCACGGTGTGGATCTTTCTTTAACACCTGCGAATACATCAGGGTGGTATTTGATAAATCAGGCCCACATTTTACACTAAGCAAGTTAAATTTTCTAATGTGAAATATTTGCTGTGGCTCAAAAGGTAAGAAGAAATACTTGTATGTGCATTTGCTTGTCCAAATTCAATTTTTGTCTTGATACAAACTTCCTGAATTATGAAGTAATAATGTGACATACAGTAGCAGACACTTCCCACCACTATAATTGTATCTACCTGAACATCTTTGCAAGTGTAATTGATTCAACAAGAACAGCAACTCAATTAATTACATTTTTTTTACCCTCTTGTTGACTAGTTTTATTTGATGGGCACCTTTGATACAATACACAATGTTGGTAACCACTGCTCTATTGCAACTTTTTTGTAGTGGAGTGTAGTAAGGCTTTACTTTGGCCTTAAGTCCCTTAACCCTTGTAGTGTCTTTGTGTGTTTGTGTGTGTGTGTGTGTGTGTGTGTGTGGTGTGTGTGTTTGTGTGTGTGTGTGTGTGTGTGTGTGTGTGTGTGTGTGTGTGTGTGTGTGTGTGTGTGTGTGTGTGCGCACACGCGCGCGCGTGTGCATGTTCCTGTACTGCATGACTTGTGCCAACTTTTCCTCATATTCATTAATACTCATATTCTGGGACAAGATGAAAATCATTGCGAGGACAAATAATGTGTACAAAACAATTTTGATTTTGATTGTATTTGTTTTTAAAAAAGTGTTCCTTCTTGTCTGAAAAATTAGTGTATTAAGCAACAGTTATTAAGTCAAATACAGCATTTTCTAGCATTGCCATGCAGAATATATCTCTTCACGTTATATTTGACTTGTATATCCCAAAACTCTGTGTGAACAAGCCAAACACAAGATTTTAAAAGCGACATAAATACATTAGTCAGGCAGGCATCAGTGTTATATGAAATAAATAACATATCAACCTAAATGGGTGATCCCTTTTGTATACAGTTGCAAGTGCATGCACCACTGGAAACAGAGAAACAGGTCCTGAAAAAATATGAATGATAAACAATTGAACAAAACACAACAAAATATGAGATAAAAGGTGGATATGATCCAATTATTCCAAAATAAATCCAACATGCTTAATATCAGGCAACAAAGGCATAATGATTCTGGCTCTCTTCCTCCTTTTCCACATCGTTCCAGCTCACCTGCAGCCCCAGGCGCACTCGTTTGGTGACTGCTGTCTCTGGAAATGTGGCCTGGACCATGGGCACTAGTTTACTTCTCAGTGAGCCTCCCTCTGAACCAATCAGATCACTCTCTTGCTGAACACGTGACACAACAGCAAAGTAGAGTGGGAAGTCAGTCGAGATAATGCGGCAAATTCGCTTTTTTCCGAGTTCTTCTTGAGTTTCTAAGTCTGTGTAGAGAAAGTTAAGTTGTTTAGTTCATTAATTTATTTGGTTTGGAAAATATAATACGATGAAAAGCTATATTTACCAAAATATATTAAAATGTTTACCTTCATCCATCCCATTAAGGATGGTTTCTAGCACCTCATCACCATAACGATTGCGATGTTCTTTCCAGACAGAGCCATTCTCACTCTTCAGCACCACAAGCTCCCGGTCTCCTCGACCCAGGGCAGCAAAGTGGGGGATCTCCACTACCACTGGTCTGGACAGCGCAATTATTATAATTATTATAATGCACAGAATTGTACAAGATCTCAGTTAATCAGTGCTCCCTGATAACTGTATACTACCAATTCATACCTTCTTTTGAATCTACACAGTCATTTATTAAGCATTAAATATTTAATCAAAATTAATTGACCTTCCCTATTTCAGAGAAATTTGTAGTCATCTATGTGGACATTTAAGAGAAAACTTCAAGTTCTTCAATGAGCATTTTACTTTCAAGTCCTAGACAAGCTGTGACCCTGTCAAAAACAAGTCAATTACATGAGTTTGACAACAGTAGAAATTGACATTTTCGGTTTAAAAATGCACCGTAAAAATGTTTTAGCTGCGAGCTTCCTTACCCCAGAAACTGCATGCCAGCTGGCCCCAGGGAGATGATCCTGCTGGCCAGCCCCTCTCCCCCCACCCGAGGGGGGGGGCTCGG